ATTTATTTAGCACAAAGAAAGCAGTAAAGAGAAGAGAGGAACAAAAAATAAATGAGACATAGTGAGAACAAATAGCAAAATGGCAGGCATAAACTTAACCATATGAATAATCTAATTAAATGTGAATGGATTAAACATTTCAATCTAAAGAAAAACTGTTAGACTGGATTTTGTTTAAATCCCATTATTAGCCCATGCAAATAGTAAACAAAAGAAGGCTGAAGTGGTTATATCAGTATCAGTCAAAATAATTTCTAACAGAAAAATATTGCTAAAGAAAAAGGACATTTAATAATGATAAAAGTTCAATTCATTTGAGTGATATAATAATTATAAAATATATGTACCTAACAACAGATCCTCCCGATACATGAAGCAAAAACTGACACACCTGAAGGGAAAAATACACAATTCAACTATAATAGTTGAAGACTTCAATACCCCACTCTCAATAATTAATAGAACAACTACACAGAATATTGGTAACATATAAGACTTAAACAAAACTATTAACAAGAATGACATATCTGACATTTATAGAACACTCTACAAAACAACAGCAGAATACACATACTTTCAAGCACAACTGGAATATTCTCCCTCAGGAAAGACTGAATGCAAGACCATAAAACAAGTCTCAATAAAATTAAAAGGACTAAAATGACACAAAATATGTTCTATGACCACAATTGAATTGAATTAAAAACTAAAAAACGAAAGAAATATGGGTGATCCTCAAATATTTGTAACTTAAAAAACATACGTCTTGGCCCAGCCTGGTGGCGTACTGGTTAAGTTCACGTGCTCTGCTTCAGCAGTCCAGGGTTCACAGGTTCAGATCCTGGGTGCAGACCTACATACCACTCATCAAGACATGTTGTGGCAGGGTCTCACATACAAAACAGAGGAAGATTGGCAAGAGATGTTAGCTCAGGGCCAATCTTTCTCACAAAAAAATAACCCATACTTCTCAATAACCCATGAGTCAAAAAAACAAAAATTACAAGGAAAATTAGAAAATATTTTGAACTAGATTAAAATGAAGAAAAATACACATAATTTAAGGGATGCAGAGAAGTGATGCTCATGGGAAACGTATAGCTTTAGATGCTTATATAAGAAAATAAGAAAGATCTCAAGTCAATAACCTGAGGTTCCACCTTAAGAATCTAGTGGAAAAAAAGAAAACATTGAATCAAGGACAATTGGAAAAAACGAAATAATAAAGATTAAAGCAGAAATTAATTAAATAGAAAACAAAAAACTACACAGAAAATCAACGAGATTAAAATTTGCTTTTTTAAAACAAGATCAACAAGACTGTCACACTTTACCTAAACTGATCAAGAAGAAAAAGAGAGAATACACAAATCACCAAAATCAGAAGTGAAAGAGAGGACATCACTAATGACTTCACAGAAATAAAAAGTATTGTAATGCAACATTATAAACAACTTAGGCCAAAAATTAGACAACTTAGATGAAATAGACAAATTCACAGAAGAAAAAATTACTAAAATTTACTCAAGAAGAAACAGAACATCTGAATAGACCAAAGAAACTGAATTAGTAAAACAAACACAAAACCTTCCCACAAATTAAATTCTAGGACCCAATGGCTTTACTGAACACTTTTATTAAATATTTAAAAGCAATTCTTCACAAACTCTTCTACAAAGAACACTTCTCAACTCATTCCGTGTTACACTGATACCAAAGCCAGAAAAAGACATCACAAGAAAATAATAATACAGACCAACATCCGTCATGAATATAAACACAAAAATTCTCAACAAAATATTAGCAAACTGATTTCAACATCTTATCATACACCATGACCACACGAGATTTATCCCAGAAATGCAAAGTAGATTTAACATCTGAAAACCAACTAATGTAGTATATGATATTAATAGATTCAAATTAGTAGACTCAAGAATAAAAATCACAGTCATTTCAATAGATACAAACAAAGCATTTAACAAAATCCAATATACCTTTCTGATAAAAATTCACAACAAACTAAACCATATCATAATTTTCTTAACCTGATAAATGGCTTATATAAAAAAACCTGCAACTAACATTATGCATAATGCTGAAAAACTGAATTCTTTTCCCCTAAGATCAGGAACAAGGTATGGATGTCAGTGCTTACCACTTCTATTCAACATTGAACTGGAGGTTCTATTCAACAAGACAAGAAAAAAAGAAAGAGAAGAAAAAACAGGAGGGCAATTGAGGGAGAGAGAGGGGGAGAGAGTGTGAGATAGTTAAAGGCATCCAGATCAGAAAAGAAAAATTGAAATGTCTTTATTTGCAGATGACATGAAAGAAAACTCTAAGGAACCCAAAAATAACTACTAGACTAATAAATGAGTTCAACAAGGTCACAGGACACAATATCAATATAAAAAATTAATTATATTTCTATATAATGGCAATGTACAATCAGAATATGAAATTAAGAAAATTATTGCATTCAAAATATCATCAAAAAGAATATAATACACAATTATAAATTTAACATAAGAAATGCAAAACTTGTACCAAAAATTTTTTTAAACATTGCCCTTCACTTTATTTTTTTAGGTTTTATTTCTTAAGGAAGATCAGCCCTGAGCTAACATCTGTTGCCAATCTTCCTCTTTTTTTTCCTTTTTTTCTCCCCAAAGGCCCAGTACATAGTTGTATATCCTAGTTGTCAGTCCTACTTATCTGTGGGATGCCACCACAGCATGCCTTGATGAGCGGTGCATAGGTCTGTGTCCAGGATCTGAAACAGTGAACCCCAGGCTGCCAAAGCAGAGTGCACAAACTCAACCACTATGCCACTGGGCCAGCACCCCAAATTTTTTTAATTGCCTTCAAAATATACCATTAATAAAATGAAAAGAAAGCCAAAGACTGGGAGAAAATATTTGCAAATCATATATCTGATGAAAGATTTCTGTCCAGAATATATAAAGGACTCTTATGACTCAATAAAAAGGCAAACAATCCAAATAGAAAATGGCGGAAAGACCTGAATAGAAATTCATCAAAGGGGATACAAAAATGGCTAATAACACGGAAAGATGCTGAATATCATAATGAGATACCACTTCACACCAACTAGAATGTCTATAATCAAAAATAAGGGCAACAGGAGGCCGACCCAGTGGAATGGTGGTTAAGTTTGCACACTCACTCCACTTTGGTGGCCCAGGGTTTGCCGGTTCAGATCCCAGGTGTGGACCTACAGACTGCTCATCAAGCCATGCTATGGCAGCATCCCACATACAAAATAGAGGAAGACTGGCACAGATGTTAGCTCAGGGCTAATCTTCCTCACCGAAAAGAAAGACAATAGGTGATAGCAAGGATGTGGAGAAACTGCCATCTTATTACATTGCTGGTGGGAACGTAAAATGGTACAGCCACTGTGGAAAACATTTTGGCAGTTTCTTAAGCTAAACTTATAATAAGAGCTAGCATCTACCCAGAAGAAATGAAAATATATGTCCAGCCAAAGACTTATACACAAATGTACACAAATATTTTGATAGTAATATTCATAATATGCCAAAACTGGAAACAATACAAATGTCTATCAACTGGTGAATGGGTAAATAAAGTATGGCATATCTATATAGTGAAATACTATTCAGCAATAAAACAAATGATCTAAAGATACATACTAGAACATGGATGAACCTCAACATCATTATTCCAATTAAAGAAACCAGACAGAAAAGACTATACAGTATATGACTCCTTTTAGATGGAATGTACAGGAAAGGCAAATCCTTAGGTAGAATGAAGTTTAGTGATTGCCTATAGCTGGTGTTGAGTACCAGAACTGACTGTAAATGAGCATGAGGGATCTTTTTGCAGTGATGGAAATATCCTAAATTTACTAAAAGTTATGAATTGTAAACCTAAAATGGGTGAATTTTGATATGTAAATTATATCTCAATAAACTTGCTTTAAAAATTTCAATGTTTACTCCATCAACACAACGTGAAATATAAAATTGAGGAAAATATACCAAAACCTCAGATGAAATAGCAGTTTACACCCAGAGTAAACATGCAATTGAGACAGAGATATTCAAGGCCAATCATGAAAACAGTAACCAGAATTTTCCCCTCCACAGTCTATGCGTTCAATGTGGTAAAAACACTTGGAAAAGAAAAGGTGAAGTTTTTGAGTAGTAAATCAAGATCATAGAGTATAATTCACAACTCCCTGACAGGTTTGAAGGGCCTGCATGAGTCACCTGATTACATCTACACAATCAATCATGAGTAAAGACATAAATTTCAAATATGGGACCCATTTTTAAAAAATTAGAAAAAAAAATAGTATCAATGTTTTAACCCAGATAACAATGTAAACAGAATGAGTCTGTTGTCATAAAGTTAAGGTAATTAATGTGAGACATTTGGTGTGCTTGAGGGGATCCTTTGGACAGCAGTATTTTTCTACAGCCATACACTTCTGTATTTGAGGAGGACACAAGTTTATAAATCAAGTCGCTAGACTGAAAAGTATTGTGAATAATTTTGTAACAACAGCTATAATAAAAAATACATATTATTCACTCTTTTCTCTGATATAGTCTTTTCCATGATAACAGAATATTTACTTAAATATTACATAAAATGAAATAGATCATCAAGACAATATTACCCGGTAAACTTGCTATAACGAGTCATTTTGCTCCAAACTCAACTTAGAGCAAATTCTTCTTTCTAGTAAATGAAATTGCAAGTTTACAAACCACAAGATTAATTGAAGGGGAAAAAAAACAACCACCAAATAATTTTATCAGAAATATTTAGGTGGCTGAGATAAAAGCTGGTTTAACTTAAAATAGTCTAATTACAACCTTCATTATTTTTCACTTAGTGAATATGTGGAAAGACTTACAGACTTAGGTTTTCTTCATTACTAAATAAAATATGAATATAAAAATCAGGTAAAAGATCATATTGCAAAAGGTCTAAAGTCTTACCTCCATCAGAACAAAGAGTGCGGCAAAGAATAGAAGAGTTGCCCATTCCACTCGGTGTAGAATTATCTCAAAATCATGGATATCAGCCAGAATTAGCAACCAGATGGCACCCAGAATAGCAATCCACCCTGAAAAACAAATAAATGGACGTGCAGATGTAATTCAATTGTTAACACACTAATTAATTTTCATCATCTGATTGTTTTTTTCTTTATTGAGGATAATTGATATTCTGCAGAATGAACAAATTTTAAATGTACAATTAATATTTTGGCTAATGTATATACCCATGAACCAACACTACAATCAAGACAATGAACATATCCTCCACCTCCAGCAGTTTACTCATGCCCATGTCCTTGTATCCCTCTAGCTCCTGCTGTCACCCCAGCCTACCCGCAGGAAATGATTCATTTCTTTCCTTTCACTATAGATGAGCTTATATTTTCTGTATTTTCCAGAAATGCAATCACACCACATGTATATTTTTATCTGACTGCTTCCATTCCACACAAATGTTTTAAGATTGGTCAGTGTTGGTTTTGTGGATCAACAGTTCATTCTTTTTTATTGTTTAGTAGCACGCCACAGTATGGCTATGCCACAATGTGCACAGTCATTCATCATTGATAGATGTTTACACTGTTTCCAGTGCTTGGCTATTACAAATATATGTGCTATGAACTCTCATATATGATTATCTATAGGTACATATGCTTTCAGTTCCCTTGGGTAAACACAGAGAAATGGAATGATTGCATCATATGATAGGTTATTATTATGGAATATTTATGTTTTAAGAAACTGTGAAACTGTTTTCTAAAATTGTTGTAACATTTCACAATCTCACCAGCAGTGTATAAGAATGTCAGTGCCTCCACATCTTCAATACTTGGTTAGCCTTTTTGATTTTTGAGGGTTATGAAGTGGTATCTCATTGTGCTTTCAAAGTGCATTTCCCTAATGACTAATCATGTTGAGCACCGTTTTATATGCCTATTTTCCATCCATATATCTTCTTTCATGAAGTTTTTGTTCAAACAGTCTGTTCATTTTTTTTCCTGAGTAGGGCAAATAAAATCCAAAATAAGTACAAGAAAATAAATAATAAAGATTGGAGCAGGAATCAATGAAATAGAAAAATATTAGAGAAAACCAACGGTACCAAAACTTAGCTCTTGGAAAAGATCAAGAAGATTGACAAACCTTAACCAATCTGAATATGACAAAACGTGAGACGACGAAAATTGCCAATATCAAGAATAAGATCAGTGACATGACTACAGATTCTATAGACATAGAAAAAGTATTAGTTTTCTATATCTGCTATAACAAATTACCACAAACACAGTGGCTTAAAAGAAAACCTACTTCTTATATCAGAGTTTTCATACATCAGAAGTATGCTGGGCTTAGTTAGGTCTCTGACTAGAGGCTCATCAAGACAAAGCTAAGGTGTTGGCAGGGCAGCATTCCTTTCTGGAAGCTCTAGGAGAGACTCTGTTTCCTTGCCCATTCACTTTGTTGACATAATTCACTCCCTTGCCCCTGTAAGACTGTAGTCCCCACTTGTTTGCTGGCTGCCACCCAGGAATTGTTCTCAGCTTCTAGAGGCCACCCACATTCCCTGGCTCATGACCCCCTTCCTCTATCTTCAAAGCCAGCAATGGTGGGTCAAGTCCCTCTCACACTTCAAATCTCTCCTGCCTCTTCTTCTGTCACATCTCTCGAAGTGACTCTTTTGTCTTCCACTTCCACTTTTAAGGACCTATGTGATTACATTGGGCCCAGCTGCATAACCCAGGAAAATCTCTTTATATTAAGGCTTATAACCTTAATTCTACCTGCAAAGTCCCTTTTGCCATGTAACATAACATACACAGACATTAACATCAAGAATTTGAGTGTGGGCACCTTTGAGGGGATATATATATATATATGGGTTAATTTGGGAAGAATTAGCATTTTAATAATATAAGGTCTTCTGATTTATGAACATGGTGTTTATCTCAATCTATTTAGGTCTTCTTTAGTTTTTCCTAAGAATATTTCGTAGAAATGCCAGCCATTTTTTTGTGTAGAAATTAACAAACTGATTCTAAAATTCACATGGGGATGTAAAGGACCTAAAATAGCCAATACAACCTTGAAGAAGGACAAAGTTGGGGAACATGTATTACTTCACTTCGGGACTTATTATAAAGCTACAATAATCAAAACAGTGTAGTACTGAATTAATACAGTCAAACTGATCAATGGAGAGTCCAGACATACACTCACATATTGATGGTCAATGGATTTTCAACAAAGGTTCAATGACAGTTTGTGAAGAAAGAGCCATTTTTTCCAGAAATGGTGCTGGAAAAACTGGATATCCACACGCAAAAAAAAATTTTTAATTGATCTGTTTATTGAATCATATATAAAAGTTAACTAAATGGATTATAAGCCTAAATGTAAAATTTATAACTATAAAACTTATAGAATAAAACATAGAAAAAAATCTCTTTGACATTGGGAAAGGTGTTTTAAATACAACACTAAAAGTGTAATTCATAAAATGAAATTTTCATTAATTGGACTTTATCAAAATTATAAATCCATGTTTTTCAAAAGTCATTGTTAAGTAAAATCAAAGATAAGACACAGACAAGGAGAAAATATATGCAAATTATTTATCTGATAAAGGACTCAAATCCAGAATAGATTTTTAAAAATTCTCAGAACTCAACAATAAGTAAAGAAACAACCCAATTAAGATAGGGAATATTTTTAACTGACATCTCACGAAAGAAGATATAAAGATGGCAAATAAGCACATGAAAAGATGCTCAGTACTACCAGTCATTAGGGAAATGCAAAGTAAAACCACAATGACATTTCACTACATACCTTAGAATGTGTAAAAGCAACAAGGCAGACCAAGCTAAGTGTTCACAAGGATTTGGAGGAACTGGAACTCTCAGCACTGGTGGAATTATAAAATGGTACAACCACTTTGGAAAACAGTTTGGCAGTTTTTAAAAACATTATCCATAAATCTACCATATGATCCAAATATTCCACTTTTAGGTATTAACTCAAGATAATATAAGAATTGAATACAGGTGATCATTGTAGTTTAACTTGTAATAGCCCAAACTGGAAACAATCCAAATGTCCATCAACAGGTGAACTGATGTACAAGTTGTGGCATGTTCAAATCATAGAATACTACTCAAGAAATAAAAAGGAATGAATTCTTGATGTACACTACTACATGGATGAATCTCATAATAATTATGCTGATGAAAGAAGCCAGACAAAGGAGCCAGCCTGGTGGCATGGTGGTTAAGTTCTCGCACTCTGCTTAGGTAGCCCAGGGTTCACAGGTTCAGATCCTGGGCGTGGACCAACACAACACTCATCAAGCTGTGTGGTGGCAGGGTCCCACATACAAAATAGAGGAGGACTGGGACAGAGGTTAGCTCAGGGCCAATCTTCCTCAAGCAAAAATAGTGAGATTGGCTACAGACATTAGCTCAGGTCCAATCTTCACCACACCCCGCCTCCCCCCCAAAAAAAAAAATCAGGGCAAAAATATTACATGTAATTCTTTTATATAAGCCTCTAGAAAATGCAAACAGCACAGTTTGACAAACTACAGCCCATAGGTCAAATCTGGCTCACTGCCTATTCTTGTAAATAAATTATTATTAGAACACATCCACAGTCATTTATTTATATATTTTCTGTGGCTGCTTTAGAACTACAGCATTTGGTTTTTATGACAGAGAGTGTATGGCCTACATAGCCTTGAAGATTTACTATATTTGGCTATTTACCATAAAGCTTGCCAACCTCTGTTTTTCTGTATAATGACAGAAAACAGATCAAAGATTGCCTGGGTATAGAAGTGCTGGGAGAGTCAGGAAACTCTAAGGCTCACTGAATTATACTAGAATATTTTTGCTGTGTTTTATAAACGTTTCTTGCAAGATATGCCTGGAAGACTAAAAGTTCAAATAACTGTGGCATCATCAGATTAACCAAACAGGTTGCAGAAATTGATTTACGTCTACTTATAACCAAATATGTGTTTGAGAGATATTTATGTGTGTGGCTTTCATTATAACTATTATGGAGCTAGCCATCTCCTATCTTCAAAAGTTAGTCTACTGTTATCCACCAGAAAGGAGGAGTTCTCCAACACCAAAGTGGATTAGGTCAGCTTATAACTGAAAGAAGCAGAAAATTATTCATTAAAAAAAAAAAAAGCAGGGAGGGATGATATCAGCAACATGGCCATGTGAGCTGACGCAGGACTCTCTCCCCTCCAAATTACAACCAAAAAGAGCAACTGTTTTCCAACCAAAAAAAAATTCTAATAACAGAAATCGTCAGAGACCCACAGCAGCCAAATGACGGAAGGCAGATAGGCTGGAGCCGCCCTCAGAGGAGCTGGAATGGAGTAGGAGAGAACTTCGCTCCCTCCCCTAGAGACTGGGATTGCTGCCGCTGGTGAGGGAAGGAGGAGGGGAGGGGCACACATCCTGGGATCATCCAGGACTCCCACTGCCGGTGCAGTGAAAACCCTCTAACAGGGATGAGCTTTTGTGTGGGGGAACCCCAGCAAGCCAGGGCCCCGGGAGACCAGAGAGGGAGAGCTGACAAGAATCCAGGTCAGTAGGCAAGAGAAAGTGCCCCTCCTCCCCCAACCCATGCTGCATGAGGCCATTGTGGCTGAAGGTGGAGAGTGCAGAACGTGCTGTTCTCAACCCCCATCTAGTGGCGACAGGCTGTAACTGCAACTGAATAATAGCATCATGGGCAAAAACTGCTCCTCTACCATTCAGCAATCTATAAAAGCTCCAGTCCAAAAGGTAAACAATAAAAATACGGAAGTAGGTCCTGAGGAGTTAGAAACAGATCAAGGGAAGATGAGTTGAAAATAGCTATCATCAAAATATTCAATGAGGTAAAGGGAAATACAGAGAAACAAGTCGAGTTCTGGAGTTACTTCACAAAAGAGATTGAAATTATAAAGAAGAATCAATTAGAAATACTAGAGATGAAAAATACAATGGATCAGATAAAACAGAATATGGATTCCCTGAATGCCCATGTAGACAACATAGAGGAGAAAATT